CACCTGCCGGCGGGGTGGTAAGGCCAGGACGGACAGTTCTGCTTGGCGTTTCCTCCGGCATCGCCTCTGCTTTCTTCATGTGGGCAGCACACAGGCTTCTCAGGAATATCACGCATCTGCAGCAACGCAGCTTCTCCAGATGTTTCACATGGTGCGCCCCTCACCTGGGCGCAGGGCACCTGTGCGTAGTAATGCGGTAACTACGTCTGTCAGGAACATGTCTAGCATGCAGAGGGTCTCACTGTGCCAGGGCAAACCTCCGGGCTCCCTTTATCTGCCCTCCGTTATCAGCGCTGCAGTTTCAAGCCCGCCGTGAAGCAGTAAGCAGCCGGCAGCGCTGGGCAGTGTCCCTGTTTATTCGCGCCTCGTGCAGCCCCTGCCGCGCTTGTGTCGCCTTGTGCCCGCTGAGGCCCCGTCCTGCACCGAGCTGAGGAGCTGTGCACAGCTGCAGCCCCGAGATTAGCCAAGCCACTCAGCTGCGGGGCTGGCTTTTCCCAGTTAAACCGCTGTTGGGAACAGTTTCATTGTTTCCTGCGTAGTTTATGGTCTGGGACTTTTGTGGTGCACTTCGTGGATACAAAAGGCACAGGAATGCCAAGCCGGTGGGCTTGTGACTCTGATGTTCAGTACATTTTGAAATACCAAGTTGACTACCAACATTTTTCAAGTTGGTTTTGAACAATTGTGAATAGCTGGTTCTTATTGTGAATTAATGGACCAGCATCAGCTGGCAATTGTTTAATTTGTCATACATGATATATTTTATTTTTCTTTTTAAATTTTTTTTTCTTTTTCCCTATTTCCCCATATAAGTGTTAACTTGGTTATTTTTGTAAAGTAGTTGCAAAACTAGTTTCAACACCCTGACTGTAAGAGATGACTCTTTTTATGTCAAGAGAAGATGATTCATTTTTTTGCTGAGTGTAGCTCTGGGCCTCTCTCTTTACCACAATGCATTTAAGTGAAATAATGATTGGAGCAAGATAATCAGTTCTTGAAATAATGTATAAAGGGACATCTGTCTAGAAACCCCCATGTCACTTCCACTGGATGTCTTTTGAAGCACATGGCAGGTCCAAAACATGAAACACAGATCAAAAAGTAGGTTTTTGTTTTTAAGGTGACATTTGGTAGCTTTGTCTGAGTCTACTTATGTTGTCAAAACGTTATTGTAATAGTATAATGGATTCCAGAGTGGTTCAGCTGATTTGTAACTTTCAATTTGCCTTTTGTAAACATAGATTTGAGCTATTTTTGGCATTTCTCTTATCCACAGTAGATGAGGATGAGAAGTCTATGTAAACAGAGGGAAGTATTGGGTTTTTTCTTCTTGGTATTGTGTGGCATCATGAAAAGTTTGCAGTTGGATTTAGCCATCCCTGGATTGAATGTATTCATTGGCCTCCAGTCCCTGGTGAGAACGTTTCTGGCAACACAATGCAAGCTATTGGTCCTTGTCTTTCGAGATCTGGTGCTTAAAACTACTCTTGAAGACAACTGCAGATGAAAATTAATTCAGTGGCCGAAGCATGCTGTTGAAGCATACTAAACTGCAGGGGTTTAAACTGTCCTGTGCTAAGATGATGTGCAGTTTTAGAACAGCCTGAGCACTTCGGCTTTGACAAGGAGTAAAGTTGATAGGGGGGTTCCTACACTCAGCTTGCTGCCCAGCAGTCTGGGATCAGCCCTAACCTTTGTATTCACTACATTCCCAGCAAACTATTTCATTCTGTTTGTTTCTGTAATCAAGCATAGGCTTGCTGATGAAATGTAAACCCCACAATATTTTATTGCTTTAGTAATAAAAATAGCAAAATATACTTCCTCTGAAATACATCCTTTAATGGACAAAATAATCATACTAAGTCAGTGTCTTGCTACTCATTTTCTTAGATGGATGTGTGTAACAGAACCAGGGATAGAAGCGTTTGTACCACTACAGAGACTACATTAAAAAAAGGTTTTTTGTGCCAAGTTCTGCATTGTGCATACTGCCCTGTCCTGCATCCCCTACAGCAGGTCAGAGCAGGGTTGGTAGATGTGCCCTATGGCTTAGGGTATTAGTTTAGTGCCTCTGCACTGTTCTGGTCTGGGTCAGCTGCAGAATCACAGCTTGTTGGTTTTGTTCTCAGGGATGTTTAAGATTGAGACTAAGCTCCCTGAGAACCATGAGTTTAGAGGAAAAGAAATAAAAAAACAATAAACATTTGCTTTGGGTGACTGGAAATACATTCATCAGCTCATGCAAGGAAATGGATTCATTTCTGTAGTAATGAAAGGTGGTGATTCTGGCCCTACCTCTTCGCAGAACACCTGAGTCCAAGAGTTTGGGCTCCAGTGGGCATGTTTGCTAAGGAAACAGATAAAAAGCCTAAGAGTGAGCCAGGTCTTTTCTTTGGGATTATTTTTCATGCTACTTTTATTTTCCCAGTTCCAACAGTTTGTGCTCTTTCTCTTCACAGTTTGCTGGTAAAAGAGATTGCAGTCCTGGTTGATTTTGTTTGTGTTCTTTTTAAGAACACAAACAAAATCAGCCAGGTTTATAACAGGAGCACCACTTGCTCCTTAATATTCAGCACCTGTTTGCATACTAACATCTCCTATTGAAAACAGGATGCCTGACTCTTTTTGTTTCTACTCAAACCTGCTCATACAAGTAAGTCACATTGAGTAGGCCACACTGAATTAGTCATGCAGGTAAAGTTGGGCATATCTGCTTATTTTTCCTCAATGTTCTTGTAAAGTATTGAGTTGGATTGCTCAAGGACATAGCTTATTTTAAGGAAAACTAAAACTGAAATTTAGAGGCGCTGTGTGGCTGTGTACATTTTGAATTTTGAAGTTTTAAGCTCAGAAAGAGCCTATAAAAAGGGAAGGTGGGGGAAATACGTAGCTGACACAGGGTATGGGTCTTATATTGGTGGGGTAAAGAGGAGCCCTTCTACAGGCACATAACTTGGGTTACATTCCATGCCCCACTCTGCCAACTGCATTTTCCTTGGGCTTCTCAGTGTAACACTGCCTCAACAACACTTCTGAAAGCTCTTACACTAAGCCCTAAGTCCATGTGAAAAATGAATGAGGCACATTTTTCAAAGCACCTTGAAAACTGTGTGTGGGGAAATGGGAGGCCTCAGTGCTGCAAGAGGTGACATCAGTCCTCTGTGTAGGAAGTAGTATTCCCTCCCAAACAAAGAAAGTCCCAAGAAGCTTGTCACACTGCAGTGTCTTAGCTGAAGGTCTTGCAAGGATTCAGAATTGCTCTACTTGATTCAGTGATTTTTTTTCCCTTTCTTTTTTGTATGTCAGTATTTCTGTGTGTGCAAGTGTGTTTATGTATGTATGTAGACATTTGAAGAAAGGGAGTTTAAAAACTCAGTGGTTTCTTTATCTTTTACAGAATACACGAGAGAATATTTAGATTAGCAAGAATGGACTGTGTAGCTCTTCAGCTTTTTTTCTCAGCTTTTTTTACTGTGTTAGTCTCACAATAAAAATGTTCATTCCAATTCACATGAACCCCAGGCAGTGATGCTGCCCATGCCAGCAGAAGAGGCAGTACCTGAATGAGAGCAGGAGTTGCTGTGCTAGGTCATTGCACTCCGTGTGAAACGAGCTCCAGCTCAGGGTGGGACAGAGAAGGAAGGTTCTGTTCCCATACAAGTCAAGTAGGTTTGTTATATCTGAATGTACTGAATTCTTTCACCCGAGAGCTGAATTCCTGCGCTCGATTAAACACCTGCTCTAAGTAATAATTAACAGCATAACATTGCTGGTGTTTATGAATTCCAAAATTTAAGGAAGAAGATGCACAGTGGATAATTTGTACTGTTGTCTCTATGTTACTTTTCAGAAAGGGCAGTGTGAGTCAAACTGAGTATGAGGTTGTGTAAAACCTCATACAAGCACAGTTCTCTGAACACATCAGAGGCAGAGTTTTATGGAAGGGGGGAATCCGTCTCAGACTTCGAACACCATTTGAAGTATTTATATTGAGTGAGAATAATTTGAGTTATGGATTTATTTTTTTTTCTTGGTGAGTGTCAAAGTTTGGTAAAGTGAAAGTTAAGTAGGAACCAGGAAGGCTTTTCTCTGAAGGTTTGTCTCCAAAGGCTGTTTCTGTAATCCATTTGAGAGCTTCCCACTGAAGCTGTGAGCTTAACTTACAGAACATATTTCAAATTATTATTTTCTTTTTTTCTTTTGGATTCATTGCACGGTAGGACATGGCAATATTGCTGTGGAGAGACATCTGGAAGTAGATAAATGGGATGGGTCCCTGCTTGTGATCAGGCCCTTACCTGATAGCCAGAACTCACCTTAAGAAGGTGGGGGAAGGACTTCATGGTGTTTCAGAAAGAGGTGGCATAGGAGAAGAGCCTCAGACTTAGTCTTGCAAGGA